GCTCAAGAAATGAGCCCCAGCTACGTACAACAAAACGTACAGATTTCAGAGACTAAAGAAGTCTAACTGTATCCTGGTTAAAGTACTTGTTCCCTAAGCAGTATTTACATGTTGCTGATACCATTATAAACACGTGAATAATAGTTCCCTCTCTACTGGTGCTTGAAGACAATGGTAGTCATTAAATTAATTGAATAGTTTTCGCCAATCAGTATGTACCATGTAAGAATATTCTTGGGCGTGGACGTGAATCAGGAAAGGAGCAAAGTCTATGAAGTGGCCTGTCAGCAGTGTCAGTAGTGCTAAATAATAAGATATTTCTGCTAGTTATTCAGAAAAGAAATAAATAGAACAGCGTCTTCAATTTTGATTTTACATTTCTTTGGTTTAGCATTTGATAAGTTCTTGTCTTGAAGAAATGTAGAGACTTGGGATAAAAAAAGGGTGAGTTGTTACAGAAGGATTTGGCAGTATTTGTTTCACCAACAGTTGTGTGTGACTCACTGTTGTGTGGTGTTCTGTGTGTTTTTTCATAAGTGTGATTCCAATAATGACTACATTGAGAACTTTGGTTCATTTATTAGCTAGCAGTTTGTTTCTGTGTTAGATTCACTTGTTCCTCCAAGCACAAATCAGCTCTAAGTCAGAAAAGAGATACGTAGGTGTAAATAGGAAAGCTCCTGTTGGAATAAATGAAGATCTGTATTACCTCTTTGTCAGTGCTTATGATATAACTGACCAGTACTATTATTGCCATGATTTATAGGTATAGCTCTGAAAATACTACCTTACAGTTGATTCCTCTGGCCTGCAATGAACACGCCAGTGAGAAACGCTATAGCGTGTTTATATCTTTGGCCTTGGAAAAAAAGAGAGGAAACAATCCTCCATCTCTAAATGAAAGAGGATAACTCTATGTACTGACTCCTTAATCTCACCACTGTTTTCTTATTTATTTTAGAAGTATCTGCTTTCAAATAAAGTGCTTTATTTAAAGCTTCTCTAGAGATCAGAAGGAAATCTTGCAGCACTCTATTCCCTTACCTATTTCTTTACTACCTGCTACTTTGTTTATGTCAGTTGATATATTTTACATAAATTGGTTCTTTTCCTTTATAAATTAAGGAAAGTCAGGATGGTTGTGAATAAAAATGGAGACTTTTTCAGGAATACATTTGAAAATAAAAATAAACTTCAGAAGAAAATAAATGCAGGAAAGGTAATAGCTAAACTAGTTCCAGAAACTACAGTTAGCACTGTAATACAAGTATATCCCTTTCTATATGTACTTTAAAATGCTTATCTGTTGAAAGAAGGAAAAAAAGTAGAATTGTCTTTTCCATTGTGAACAGCTCCTGAAATGCTCACGTATTTTCAGTGGTAGCAGTGTTGCAATAGTATTGCATTTAGGCTGCAGCTAGTTTAAATAGTGTCACGATCTCATACTGTTGATCTGATGAACTGTGATACCTTACTTAATGAAATAACTTACATCTAATTCATAAGGATAAGTAGACAGATACGTGATGAGGGATTAATCCTGGTTTAAGCCTGTAACGTTTCCAGTAGTAAAGCTGTACTTACGTAAGTGATAAAGAGGAGAATACCTGAGAATTTGTGTTGTACTATGTTGATTCTTCTGATCTCTTTTAGTGGGAGCATGGACGAGCTTTATCTTTTCTGAACCTCTGCTAATGCATGTTCAATATACAAATATTTTCATAACAAGTTTCTGTAATTCTTTCTTGTCCGAATTTCTAATGGATTGAGTTTTGTAGGAAACTACTTCATTGAAATGAAGATGAAAATGAAGCATGTGATTAACTGAAATAAAAGTAGCTATGCAAAACATTTGTGATGGCAGATATGAAAAAACAACCAAGTGAAGAAATGTAAACAACTTTAAAAAAAGCCCCAAAACTAAATATTAATTCAAGAGCCTTCGTTGTTAAAATTTTTTCTTTGAGAGAAAGTGTGTTTTTATGCCATCAGGAGCAAACTCAAACCACATTTGATATTAAATCTGGGAAAATTTTAGCCCATAGTCATAACAAATGCTTGTATATACTTTATAACAGTCTGATAGTCTGTATGGCTGCTCAATACACGTGGTATGTATTAGTGTAGTGTATTAGCGAGTGCAAAAGCAGAGCTCAAGTTATTTTGAACATTAATAAAGTTAAAGTATTACCCAGAACATGTCTTTCTTTGTGGAAACTGTATCTTCAATTGTATATAATAATCAGTTCTAATTAATCAATAGTCTTAAGGAACTGCAAGTAAACACTAGAGTTACAGTTTATTTAGATTCAGCTTAATGTATTTTACTTCTGTGCATTTGATACCTAGTTGAAAATATTCTAGTGTATATTTTCACGAACAAATATTCTGAGTTCAGGTTCGTATGCTGGCACGCTGACCTGTACTTCTACTAGCCATTCATCATAACTGACAACTGCTATATGACTGTATACAGCAATCTCAATATGCTTGAGGGATGGGTCTTAGACATTAGCAGGGGATCAGTCTGAAAGTTTGTGGTTTTAAAGGTTTACCCAATCACAGAATCAAAATGGTTGTTTGGACCGTATACATGTTGGGAGGTTTAAAAAGAGCTTGCACATGTTATGTATGATAGACCAAGTTTAACTTTTTTAGTGATTTTCTTAATATTGCTCTTTGGAGTCTCCTCTCTTTTAAGTCTATTGGAATCAATTCAGATGTATTACCTCTCTATTTTAAGCTGACAATGACTGAAAGCACAGAACTTCAGGAAACCTGGAAGGGTTTTACTTTCTAGATGTTTCATCTGAGAAAAAGATGAAGAATCTTTATCAGGTGGCAAGAGTTTTTACTTTGTTTCCAGTTCAGCTGATCAAAAAATACAGAAGTTTTGCTGCTGTGAATGAATTATATCCCATTTGATCCAGGAACATATGGATCACCGTGTTTTAATGTTATGTCTAGTATCATGCTTCTGAGATTTATATTGTACCTCAAAGCTCTAGAGGACAGCAAATATCTTATTTTTCAAATAATCTACATAGAATGGAGAAAGCTTGGGGTTTCTTAGTATATGATACTATAAAGGTTACTAAGACTTTTAGTTGGATGGATTAGAAGATTAATAATATGCATGTTCATAAGCTTTTTATCTCTATTTCATAATTTAAATACAGTTGCGTTTTAGGGCTAGTATGTAGTGACTAAAAATTTTTCACAGTCCGATAGATATTTGTTTGTTTCGGGCCATTTCCCTGCAGGCAAACTGTAGACCATTACAAATAGTGCTAAATTGCATTCCCTTGCGAACAAGCGAGTATGCAGGAGAAGCAGGAAAAGGTGTGACTGTGTCTTATACTGATAAGAGGGAGATTAAAATTTGCCACACAGGGTAGTGGTGATAACTAGTACATTCAGAGTTCTGTCGCTGTAAAATCTGTCTGCAAACCTTGGTAAACACTTAGGAAATGAACAATTTTATGTTTGAGGCGATACAGAAACTTTCTGTGGTACGTTCTGCAGTCTAGGCTCCCCCAGATTGGGGGATGTGCTGGAAAGCACAATGTAGATTAGAATGTATATTCAGATAGTCTATTGAAAATTTTTTCTAGCAACAAAACATGTCATCAGTGAGGATTTAATGCATAGGTTGAGTAAGAATTTTGTCACTGGGTGATGCTTGAGAGGCAGATGCTGCCATAAGCACCTTCCTTCAAACAGGTTCAATGCTTTTCAGAATCTCAGATGATCCTTTTCCTGTGTGCCTGAAAGGGCTTGCTCAGAGCACTCCCACGAAGCCAGCAAAGGTGACTGCTTTTTCTGAGTTAGAGGATGACAGAGCAGGACAGAAAACTCATGCCTGATGTAGGAAACTGTGGTTTTATTCTCTTCTGTCTGTGACACACACATCTTGCCTGTCAGGAGAAGGACTGAAGTCTTTTAGCTAGAGCTGTGTTCATGCTGAGCATGCTTCCCCTCTCTGGCCCAGCAAAGCTCAGATTCTTTTCTGCAGCATGTCTTCAGCAGCAGATATGGAAAGCACCTAGTTAAACCTATAGTCTGACACTTAAGGCACACTTCAGGGAGGTAGGTTATGTTGGTTTGGAAGATCACTGTTCTGCCCACCAGAGACACCCAACACGTGAAAGAAGAACGCAGCCTGAATTGTTCTAGAACAAAACCCACCCTGCCTCAGTGTTTAAAGAAAAGTTATAGTTATGTCCTTTCAAAGTCTCAGAACTATTAATTACTCAAAGAAAAGCACTAGCTTTCAGTCCTAAAGAAGTTGCCTGAGATTCATCAAAGAGAGCTGTTTATACTACGTGTCTGTCATCAGAAATATTTTTGGCAATAAAATTCTGTTTGCTCAGTGTGCCCATTTTAAAGTCATCTGACAACGCTTTTTCCACATGACTGACACAGGGTATGAATTTTAGGGAGAATCAGTCATTTCATTGCTTAACAATGGTATCCCTAAGTTTCTCCTTAGAGGTGTCGCTAAACCCATTATTTCTTGGCGTACTTTTAAATGGATGATTCTGGATTTATGGACTCTGGGTGGATCTTGGTGTTCCACTTACTGCCATTAACCTCGGTGTGCTGAATACCTGATCAGGATGATCTGTGGTCAAGTTCCCCGAGTATGCTAACAACATACATCAGTGCTAGGTGCATCTAGATGAAGATTATGGGACTGAATCCTCATCTGTGAAATAGATGCGTGTTTCCTCTGTACATGAGCTGGCACACAAATAAAGTGTCCAGATACTACTAAGTAATTAGTCATACAAATGTGAAATCTACATGTACATTCGAAAATATATAGTCCTGCAATGTATTTTCAAATCATATGTGCTATTAGTGTTTTCTTCTACATTTATTTTGAAGAATGTTTTTCTGAGATACCTGTCATTCAGCACAAAAACACCAGAAGATCAAGCAGGTCAAAGACTCTACAGGATTTTTTCCTGTATCTAATACTTACTTCTCCTTAACAGGTGATTTATATATTGGAGGAGTGGCCAAAGAAATGTATAAGTCCTTGCCAAAACTGGTGCACGCAAAAGAGGGATTCCAAGGCTGTCTTGCTTCAGTTGACTTGAATGGACGGCTCCCTGATCTAATCTCAGATGCTCTCTTCTGCAATGGGCAAATAGAAAGAGGATGTGAAGGTATCAAATATGCTGATTTTTATTTTTGTATCATGGTGAAAGTATTGTGTGAATCCTGCAGTTTTATTGATATGTACACTCCATACATGGAGAGACTATATTTTACCTGCTTCAAATTGTTCTTGTTTGACCCATTTCTTATATAAAGGCTGTTGGGTTTTTTAGTATTACCGATATAAGTGTGTCTGTCCTACAGCACAGACGCTGATGTAAGAACATGAGTGAACTTCTTAAATGTTTAATGTAGGTTTCATCCTTCTCCAGTGGCAAGATATTTTGCATGTATATTGTTTACTTCTGATGTATTTTAATTAATGATAGAAACGATAACAATTAGCTTCAATGAAGTCCTTTATATCTTCATAACACTTAGGCATTAGCTAATGCTAAGACATTAGCTAATTAATTTCATTTTTGAAGCAGACATTTTGGGTTGATTAATTCAAGGCTAATTTATGAAACTGTTTAAGATCAATCTTCCATCTTCTCTATTTTTGCTCACCCCTGAGATTTGTATTGTCATGAGTCTTCCTATCTGAAATCTGTAACAGCTGAATATGTTTTCTTTCACATTCTTTATGTCTTTATTGACTCATCTGGAATATCATGGAGTTTCAGTGAAGACAGAGTTAGAAGAGGTGTTTGTAATTCAGGGGTGTCAATCTCTAGTTATTTTTCCAGCTGTCATTTAATCCCACATTATTTTTACTATGATTTATGGCATAATTTAAACCAATTCTTTGTCCCTGCATATATATTTTATTCACATAATTCTGAATTTTGTGACTATGTTCAATTTTATATGTTCTCCACTCCCTCAGGTGCTGTTCTTCTGTGAACAGAAAAATGCGTAAATGACAATGCAGAATTTCAAGTTGGAATCTTGATGATTTTGATATCAAGTTTCTTAGTTTTGCAATAGACATTGTTAAAAATCGTAGCAGAGCTGGGGGAGTTTCCTCAAACTTCACAAGATAAAGCTTTCTGGCAGATAAATTGTGTCTCCTCTTTTGTTGTACCTACAGTACCTTTGTATAGGTTGAACTTTTTTGTTCTTTACCTGCTACCTTTTGTTAACAGCATAAATGCTGTTGATAGCACATAGAAATATGTAAAATTAACAACTTATTTTTATGTAGTTTTAGTGTCTATTTCTGTCAGGAATGGAAAAATATGTATGAATTAGTTTGTCACTGAGTTTAGAAAATTAGATTCTGTTTTCTGAATAATGTTAGCAAGTTCCATGCCTGCACCATCCCTTCAGAGAGTCAAAGTATGCCTTAATTCCATTATGCATTTCAGAGCTTCTTTTGAAAGTATGTAATTTTCTAAATTAATTTTATGTACTTCAAAGAAATATTGCCACAGGCCTCAAGTGAGAGTTCACCTTTTAAACCAGTGGCACAACTCAGCTATCAGTTAATTTAATAAAGCTACAAACAATTTAATAAAGGCCATACAAATATTGTTCTTTTTGGTGGAGAATAGGCTTTTTTTTGACACCAAAATGATCTGACTCAAGCAAAATGGTCAAACCAGATGTGCTGTCTTGCTTCCAGAGAACTGCCTGATCAAAAGTGTTTGCCCACAGAAGGAAATCTTTAACAGCATGGAATGAGATATTCCCTTCCAACTTTTCTGATTAGCCATAGCAAGTTAACTCTTCAGTCTCACTTGTTTGCTTCAAGTCTTCCTGTCTGACCCATCTGTCAGTCTCTTCTCTGCAGACCATAGATCAGGTGTACAAAAACGTTCTGATGCCTGAAGTATGATTTAAGTCACTTGCAAATTCAGCTGCCTCCTAGAAGTCTCTTGTATGCCTCAAGCTGCTCATAGCTCTGCTGCTTGTGTACAGACAGGACTGTCTCCATCCTTACACAGCTGAGCAGTATCGTGCCTGTTCACAAGGCAATGGGATGCATAAGCTCTGTAAGTCCCCTGAGATGTTGAGTCCAAAATGATCAGGACACAGCAGCAGAATGTCAAAACAATACATATTAGTCACCACCACTCTCAATCCAAAAGACAGCTGGCTGTACTAGTGGGTATATATCCTTTGTTAAGACAACAGCCTGCTGCAAATCTTTCCTGAGAAGTGACGCACTTGGATTTGATGTTCTTCGGACTCTTAGGAGATTGAATTCCCTGTCTTTCTGGTACAAAAATCACCCAAAAACCTGGTACAAAAAAACCCCAAAAACCTGGGGTGAAAACTCTTTTTCTCTATTCTGTCAAACTGTCAAGACATGATGTACTACTAATTAATTTTATCTGTTAGGATTTTGTTCTTAAGATATTGATATTTCTCAAAAACTTTACTGTCAGAAGTGCATGTTAAAAATTATATCTTTGAAACGTTTTTTGCAGACCCACATATGGGATTGGTGTGGCAAGTTGTAAGGCTTGCATTTTGAAGTTTCAGCCACAGCCAGATAGATATCTCTGTTCTCTTATCATTGAGCATTGAATGTAATTTACACTTGGCTGAATCCACCTTGTTGACAAATTTTCAATGGCTGGAACAGATAGAAACTAACAGCTAGAAACATAAATATGCTAACTAGCTCTTTGAATTGTTAACAGCAAACCCCAGAGCCAGGTTGTAAGTGTCAGCCCTGTTTTTCTCTAGTCAAATCCATTGTACTTTCTTTACACACTTTAAATAAAGCAGAATTATAGACATTACAGAACGATCAAACCATAGTTTTACTCTATTTAGGAGAAAAACACACTCTGTGTGTGCATGTACATATATAATATAATTTGTGTATTAAATGAATTATATGAACATTTTCAAAGAATTACCATACATGAGGATTCTTGGTGGTGAAATATAAAATTTGGTTTTGCACTATGTGGTAAAACATTTGTAGAAGCTACTTAATAATGTTTTTTGTGTAATATATAGCATGTAAGCCCTCACATAAAACATATGTAAATGAGAGGAAATCCAGTCAATTAAAAAGTCTGCAGTGAAGACTGAATAAATTAGCGTATTTAAACTGAATGTGAATGAAAAGGTGAGTGCTTGAGAAGTGTCTTACATTATTTTTACTAAATAGCTGAGTTCTGTAGTATACATAGGAAAATATGAACCTGTTATGATAGATATTATAGTATTTACTGACACTAAAAAGTTCTCCTCTGTTCTTTCTCAAAAAAAGGACTGCATTTATTAAAAGAAATTCTTACATGTAAGCTACGTCTTGAGAACAATTTTTGAATATTGACTACTATAGATAAGCAAAAATGCCAAGAATCAATTTCATAAAAAGCAAACTACCCTGCTTTTTAACAAGATCGTATCTGTGTATTTTCCAAACACCTGTGTTTTAACATGCACTTTTTAATGTGCCTACAGGGTCCTGCAGTGTATGTACTTTTAAGTCCTTGTGACTTTTGCTCTACTTTTGCAAAGACGAGGAAATTTCACATTGCATAACTAAAGTGTAAATAAATGCATGAATATATAACATTTAAACACCTACAGATATTTTCACTTCATCTTTGTAAAGTTTCTGAGTAGCAGAATCTGGTGAGAAAAAAATGTGTCTTGTCTTGTCAGCTACAGGATTCTGTCATTATAATCCCCAGCGCAAGAAAGGGTGATGTAATGCCCAAATGTTTAAACTTCTGGGCTCAAAACTCCAAAGAAAAAGAAATCACTATCCTATGTCTGCCTACTGCTGTAAGTCAGCTATAGGTGGTATTATTATTATTACAGGAGAAAACAGAACAGTTAATAGTTTTGCCGAAACAGAGACGCAGCATACAGTGCCCTGGTTATAGTCATGCTGGTGACTGACCAAGCCCTGGTTCAGAGGCGTGCTCGAGCAGTGACTCATTGAAAGTGTGAGGCCATTGAACTGACTTAAGTCATATTGATATGGATTTTTCTAAAATACTGGCAAATCAAAAAAAAATCCCACACTGAGATCTTTGAAGGGGCTGTAATGTGAAAGAAGGGTTAAGTGGATTTCTCTCTACAGGATGATTTTGGATATTTATATGATCTTTGGACCAGTTTTGCCCTATCCTCAATGACTAGCAGTGGGAGTTTCAAATGGATATTGATATGTCTTCTCCAAAATAATTTAGGACAATTTTATAATCCCAGAACAGAACTTTTCCTTGTAGTGTCAGGAGCCAGTGTGAAATGTGTGTGTGAGCTCATAGTAACCTGTGGTTCACGGTCTTTATTTCAGTCTTCATTCACCAGTCACAAAGAAAGGGCTAGGAAGAAAGAAAGACTACAGAGGATGACTGTGCTAGTTATTCTTGAATTCAGTGTATCTGAACATGACAAATGGCTAGTCAGGATTCAGCCATGCATTTACTCTGCTAATGCATTCATATCTATCCAAGGAAGAAAAAAAAACCCACTTAATTTTCCTTCATTACATGTCATCGGCTCAATTAACCATTATATTTGTAGTAAAATACTGGCAAATTACTGCTTTCTTATTTTGGCTTGCCTGAAGATTTATGGCTATTAGCATTAATTTGTTTGCATTATATGGCATTTCTTTCTCTTTAACAGCAGCATGCACTTTACTCTGAATGGTTTTTTTCTGTGTTTGCTGCCATTTCAATATTGCTTACTAACATTTAATATATTTTGCTTTTTTATTTTGCTGACAAAGTTGCATTGATGAAAGCTGATTTGCAAGGTAGATAGCCCTGTGTGTATTAAACAAGACTGAAACCCCCCATGCACGGTTGGATTTCTGCAATAAATGCTCTGCACATTTCAGAACTAAAATGTATTATTTTGTTTCAGATTTTGTTTCACACCTCTAAAACAATGGGCTATGTGAACCTTCATTTTCCAGCATAGCTTGCATAAAGGCTTTCAGTCTTGAATATGTTTGTATAGTGATTGCTTTAGTGCTTTGATCATTCCTTTTCAAATTTCTTTATATTTCAGTAGTCTAGTTATGATGCTCTAGAAATAAATAGCTTTGTTTTTCATGCGTATGTCACATTTCAGCATGCCAGTTCATTACTAGTCTGGTTTTTCTGCATTTTCCCTTTAAAAAAGGAACCTGCATGGGATCCCTGAAGCATGTGAATCAGTACTTGCCAACATTCCTGCCAAAGAATCCCAAGCTCCTCTTAATTTCAGACCTAAATCATTTAAAATAATTTGTGGGATTAAAAACATTGTACAGTGTAGTTTCATTTTATTATTTTCTTTAATTTTGTTTTGGTTTTAATTTTATTTTTTAATCTTTACTTTCATCTCCCAAAGCTTTGCTTTCTGTGTGTCTGGCTTTGCTGTTGGAAATGTATTTACAGGAAAAAATAATAAAGGTATTAGGAAACACTTAGCCAGTTAATGGTCTGGAGATTAACAAAAAGCTTGCAAGAAAGTTAACCTTCCCACTGTACCTGGAATAGCTCTGCTTCAGTTTGTGCGTTCTTAAGTGTTGGACATACCAATTTTAAAACTAAAGCCAACCCGCCCTTTTAATACTACATGCTGCTACAAAATCAGCAGTTTATGTGTGTTTTACTTTGTAACTCTTTGCTCGTTTGATTTGAGATGTTGGCAACTAGTTAATGTGATCCAGTGAGAAATACCTTTCTTTGGAAGATAAAGTGCAAGTCCTTTTCTGTATGTTCTCATTCAGGCCCCAGCACAACGTGCCAAGAGGATTCCTGCGCAAACCAGGGAGTGTGCTTACAGCAGTGGGATGGATTCAGTTGTGACTGTAGTATGACCTCCTTTAGTGGACCACTATGCAATGACCGTAAGTACGCTGAAAAATGCTGAATGCTCAAGAGCTTTAAGGCAATATTTGAAGGAAGTGTCTGAAGCTTTATAATATTTTAATATTAACTATTTGAATGAACTGGCAAGCCTTGTGAAAATTTATAAGGCTTGTAGGAAGAACATAGCTAAAATATACGGTATGAATTTTGGACAATGTTGCCGTATCAAACACTGACAGAATTTGGTTTTATTACATTTGATTGCATGTCTAATATACTTATGGCTACCTGTTTGAAATAATCCTTTTCCTGCATAAATGTTACAAATAGGGTTTTTTTCCTGATTGAAAAAAAGCCTTTTACATTTTATTATCTTAAGCTATATTGTAATTTTGTAGCATTATATGATGAGGGCTATAATTATTGTGAAACAGTTGACAAGGCTCATTATCTCCCTTTGTGGATTTCCTTAGGTGACACACTAAGCATGCCAATAATAAAAGCATGCTGAGTATTTTAGTTCTTTTAAAACTCATTTGAATAAAATGACATAACATACATCAACCATCTGGTCTTTCAGGAAAAGCATAAATGTGTCAAAAATAAGGGGCCTGATTCACCAATGTCATAATCTAGTTTTATTACAATCTATCCTTATTGATCTAAATAGAATTATGCCTAAGTGAAAGTGGAATAGTAATGCAAGAGTCATGATGGTCCATGGTAGCTGATTAAAGCAATCTAGTGAGTTTTCTTTTTAACCCATCACATTTGAAATATCCAAATGTTGCATATTTTTATATCTGTATGAAGAGGGAATTTCTTTAAGGCTAAGCGTTTTTTTTTCTATTTGAATGTGTTTATCTGAATGAATGGCTGATGGTAGAAAGTGTTGGCATAACTGTCTAGTCAAGCATTTTGGATTTTTATATCATGTTCTGGTTCTCCACCCTACAGCAAAGTGTACCTTCTTGGACCAACCCTAAAATAACAGAATAATTAAAATCTGAAAAGCTTTCAGTAAAATTGTGTCTAACACAAAGCTAGCAAATGAATTATATGTAAAAGCTTCATTAATTATTTGCATGAAAGTTCCACTTTGCTACTGACCATGTTTGAAAGCTACAGAAAGGACTCATCTCGGTCTGTTTCTCCACAGTTGCTGTTCTGGTAGAAATGAAATGCGGTATCAAAAAAACCTTTGATAATTTGAGCGAAGGTTTGGGTTTACTTTATGTATATGAGTTTGCCCTTCCCAGCAATGTGAGTGATTAGTTATACTGCTAAACATATATTTTTAAAGATTTCGGTCCCCTATCAGTTACAGGAGAAAACGGTTTGTTTCTATTTTACTCTTAAGTTGTTATTTCTGTTCTTTAGTGATCTTTTGAGTTCTTCCAAAAGTAATTAAAAAACTATGAATAAGGTCATATATATGAATATTATGTATTCCACAGCTAGCAAAGGAAAAACTCTGTTTATAAATTTGTCTAAGTAGTAACTGATGTCTGAACCTGAAATATTCTATGAATTATTTCTTCAAGTGACAGCTATTGCATCAATTTTGTAAATTGATGAACTTATGTAACAAAAGATATTTACCAATCTGTGAAGGATTGTTTGTGTGGTAACATTACGGACTACATTGCACACAATCAAATAATTCTCAATATAGTATTGCTGATGATGTGAAAGCAGTTAGTACATGGATGTCAAAAATACTTACTTTTTTCCCAGATACATTTTTTTTTAATGTTCTTCTATCACAAACATGAAATATAAATTTATTCTAGATATGGATGTTTTGTAATAGAATGCAGAGTCTGGTAAATATAATGCATTTAGTTTCTACTTTATCTTGGGTCCTTAGATTAGTTCAGATACCAAAAATCTGCAAAGCAAATCTAACGAGAGATATTTTTCGTAATGGTATATGTGAGGGAAAGGAGAAGAAACACTATTGTAATCTTAATGTCATATAGATACTTCTAGACCACTCTCTGCTGTGTTTGGGAAGAGCACAATGGGAAGAGGAATGATGAAATGTTACTGCAGTTGGTAGTAACTTGCACAGGCTGCACACCACAGGCTAAATTTCTGCAGCACTGAAGTAAGACAAATTCACTTCACGTGAAGAAAGATTATCTCAGCAACAGGTCTGGAATAGCACCTATTTGTTGCTGAAAACCACATTCCCTTCAGAAGGGATGTAGGTATGTTCCTGAGCAGTGAGTGTGAGCATGTTTCCATTATAGACTGTGCATGGAGCAATGCTGATTGACATAAATTGAAATCTAACCCGTTATTGCTACACAGACAGGCCCTTGGCTTACTTTACATTTTAATGTACTGCTTTATGTAAAATGGACATCAACATCTCATAGGTAGAGACTTTTTGTTATCAAACCCAAAAACTGACCACTTAAAAATAAGTATCAGTGGTCATGAAAGAGACAGGTAAAAGTATCTGGTTTATGGAGATGTGTATCCCTCGTGTATTGGATGTCCGTGTCCAGGTGTTGGCAGCAGCAGTCTGCAGGGTGGCCTCAGTGAGGAGGGGCTGGGACTGTCCCATGCTGAGCACAGCCAGCTCCAATGGACCTACCACAGGGCACAGCTGAGTCCCTCAGCCAAGCTAGTGGCACCTCTATGAAAATGCACTTAGAAAGTGTTCCAGTCTTACCAAAATGCTGGACCAATGAAGAGGAGGGAACAAAACCAGTGAGAAACAGTGGCGGGAACACCAAGGTCAGAGCAGGGGCAGAGGGCGAGAAGCTGGATGGTAGCTTGGCCCTCAGCCAGGATTAGGCCGTCACACCTTCACGTTATTCTGTTCCACGGTTAACACACCACACCTCCCCACTGGTTTTTTCCACCAGTTCTTAGGGAACGTATTTGAGTAGAAATTTCAGTGTGACAAAATGGCTGAGGTGAGAAGGGACGTGTGGAGATTGTCTAGTCCAACCCCTCTGCTCAGAGCAGAGTCAGCTAGTACAGGTTGTCCAAGGCTGTGTCCAGTTGGGTTTTGAATATCTCCAAGGATGGAGACTCCACAAACTCTCTGGGCACCCTGTGCCAGTGCTCAGTCACCCTCACAGTGCAAACATTTCCCTATATTTAAATGAGATTTTGTGTATTTCAGTTTGTGCCTGTTGCCTTTTGTCCTGTCACTGGGCACCACTAAGAAGAATCTGTCTCTGTTGTCTTTACCCCCACCCATCAGGTATTTTAAAACATTGATAGGATCCCCACTGAGCCTTCTCTTCTCCAGGCTGAACAGTCCCTGATTTCTCAGCCTCTCTTCATATGAAAGGTGCTTCAAGTCCTTAATTGCCTTTGTGGCCCTTTGCTGGACTTGTTCCAGGACACTCATGTTGTTCTTACACTGTGGAGCCCAGCACTAGGAGACAGTGCTCCAGATGCATCTCAACAGTGCTGAGTAAAGGGGAAGGGTCACATCTCTCAACATTCCTGCAATGTTTTTCCTAATACAGGCAATGAGGCCGTTGGCTGCCTTTGCCACAAGAGCACACTGCTGACTCATGTTCAACTTGGTGCCAACGAGGATGCCCAGATCCATTTCTGCAAAGCTGCTTTCCAGCTGGTCAGGCCCCAGCCTGTCCTGGTGTGTGGGGTTATTCCTTCTGAGGTGCAGGAGTTGGCATTATCCTTTGTTTTACAAGGTCTTGTCAGCCAACTTCTCCAGCTTGTCAGCATCCATCTGAATGGCAGCACGTGCTTCTGGTCTATCAACCACTCCTCCCAGTTTTGTATCATCTGCAATTTGCATAAAAGTGCACAAATTACCTTGCTGCATTTGAGTTGACAGTTTCGGTGTCTTTCCCATTGTAACCTCGGTGCACAAAGATTTGACGTGCGTTGTTCCTAGGCTTTACAAGTAAATGTATCACGTGTATCATTCTTGTCTTTAATTTCCAAAACAGAGAGCTTGGAGGAAATAATGAAAGAAATAGTTTCTTGAAAAGTGTTATAATACATTCCATTAATACAGTGTGCAAGAAGTTTCTTTGTTATTTCCTATAACAGCAAATTATTACTCTTATGCGGTTCAGTGTATTATTCCGGGTGAAAATGTGCACAGCTTAAAATTGCAATTTTTAAAAAAGCTCTCTCAAAATAAGCACAGCGTGAGGCAGGTTGCTTCTTTCCCAGTCCAAGAGTGTCCTCTGTGTGTCAGCTAGAGAGAAGAAGTGTAGTGAATGTACTTCTGCGGAAAATAGCCTGGGCCAGCCAAGGGTAAGGCTACAGTTTTACAACTGTAGTTAGGAACACCCACAGTTAAATCCACAAAAGTTTTGCTTAGTTGCAAATCTCAGTGTTTCAGTGCTCCACTACAGTGAGGATGGAGTGCCTGTAGATCATCAGCCTCTGTGGTGGCACAGATGGGAACATTCTGTATGCTGCAGTTTCCTGTTTACTGGAAGATAAACAAGGCAGGAAAAATTTTGACTCCAAGAGGCTATATAGATTATCATTTGCTCTTTTGATGTGACGTGTTACTTGGAGATTCAGGGCAACAGTGCTGGTTAGATGTGATAGACAGAAGTGTTACACTGGTAAGTGTAAAGTGGACCACTAGCAGTTGTTCCTACAAAATGGGATTATATAGAAGACTGTACTAAAGGCACAGTTAATGGCTGTTCTTACAAATGAGTGCCTGCATGCAACTCATCTGAGAAAATACATCATGAACATTGTAACTATTTCTAACAGTAGATTATGTAGTGAAAGCTATCCTCCCAGGGAATTCAGCTTTTTTATAAGAGCAGGGGTGAAAAACACTCTGGCAAAACAAAACAGATCTATAAGAGATTATCTGCTTTCTATAAGTTTACATCTGTTTTTACTCTGGCAGTCTTTAAGTATAGCCATATTAGTGAATGTAATGGCATGTTTGTGGAAACAAATACTGCTATTACGGCATAGAAAATAGCAGGCATAGTAACATTGTCACATTACATTAGTATAAAAACGTTCCGTACCAAATTGCAGGGCAGCTTCAACACTGTCTGTTACCATAAGGGAATAATGTATTGGCAT